CTTTGCAGCACAGCTGACTCACACATCTTCAATATTGCCAGGGCAAACCGAAACAAAGACTGAAATATGAACGGAATTTGGGTGTAGAATAAGGTTAGAAATCACCTGAGTGCATTAATGCGACCTTTCATTTTTAAACATAAAATAATAAAAATCCTTCCTTCAATGGATTTCAAAAATAGGTATGAGTGAAAATAAGAGTTTGCGGGTAGGGCACTTTTTGTTATCTTATCCTCAGCATTAGGTAGCTCCTCCCCAGACTCTCACAAGAATGTGATATGATGACACAACTCATTTGGAGAGTACTTTTGATACATTGGTTGAGTACTTCATCTCATACTTCCTTCCCACATCTTATCCAACTTTCTGCACCTGGTCACCCATCCTAGACCTCCTCCGCCCATAGGCCTAGGCAAAAATGTCCATGTCCCCTTCAAAGAATGGAAGAGGCAGAACTTCGCTCAGAACGACCACACAATTTTTGTACAATTATGATCAATAGATTTCTCAAGTATCCGATCAGTGCCAGGTTACCCTGGGCAACGGGTCAAGCTAGGACGCCCGCCGAAGTGGACAAACAATCTAGCAAGTCCCCTAAAGGAAGAACGCAAAATCATCAGGATTGCCACAATCAACTTTGTACTTGGTGGGCAAAAACCACTTTGTCCAAGGCACACTTCAACAAAACTTTTGTCGCAAATAACGCCACCACCCATTAACAAGATGCCCTTGCTGACTACCATCATCATCTTTAAAATAGGAAGACATCCACCATCGCCGTCGAGTTCAAGACGGCCACCCATAAGGCCTGAGGCAGCTACCCAATTGTTCAATCGGTTCACTGATGCATGGCTTCCTAGAGGTAGACGACATTAGAAGAGCTTACCACGGGTGCACCATGTACCCGTGGTAAGTTCTGTTGTCGGGGCGGAGGGCAATTATGAATTTTTTGATAGATCGTAAACTACTCTACGGTTTTTAAGTGGGGGCCTTCGGTTCGAATTCAGCGAACAGGTAGATGACTATTTTTTGGATAGAAAAAGAGGATGATTTTCTTGTAACCCTCCGCTGCACATTACTGTAAAATCAAGACAAAAAATATAAGACTTAATGAACTTGAAAAAGAAAAAATATCAGAAGTGCTAGAGAGTTCCAAGAACATAATCACTCCAAACAAGTTCGGGAAGAAAATTACCTTATTTCCTTCATAAAGGAAAACGTCAAAAATTGGTAGGTAGATCTGATGAGGCATCACATCAACGAAACATGTCAGGAACCAGCTCAGCGCGAACAACGATAAGTCCACTTCAAACTGTCGTAAATGGGCAGCAAAACGAGGCAACTTCTCCGTCACCAAATCGCGTAACACCTTGAAATCGAAGTTAAAAGAGAATAAACCAAAATAATTTGCCAGGAGGTCAAAAGAATAAGATACTATGAAGTCACTGTAATATGCAACCAGTTCAGCAACTCAAATTTCACGGTAATATAGTAACTTCAGTGAACTGCCAGTAATTCCTTTTACTCAGTGGACCCTGCGACTGCGCGGGACTAACGCTAGGGAGAAGAAGAATTCCTTTTACTATAATTTCGATGTTTACATTCCCCTATGCATTGGCTTTCCTGCCGCCGATTGATGACCAAGTCTAACTGGTAGTCACAACCGGCAGTCTACAGCAAGCGTTTACAAGATTTGTGTTTGCGAAAATTTCCAACCTTCTGATCAGCCACGGCACCGATAAGATTACTTGCATAATAATTGGGAGGCTGGAGCTCTGTGAACGTTATCAAGAACCAGAACGCATCCTCCTCATCAAGGTACAATAACGCTACTGCAGCTATCCGATTCAAACCCTGAAACAAATACAGTCCAAATAATAAGTTCTCCAGACAATTACTTGCATGGGACGGAATGCACCAACCTGACAATATCCTATGACTGTGTCGTGGTTTCTGTATGCGTATAACACCCTACGCAACTGTTTCACCTTCTCTGAATCCGGATCGGAAAACATGCTATTCGCCGAAAGAGTCCGCACAAGATCCAGGTCAATCTGAAAGAGGTATGAAAATTAAATTTGGTTAGCAAAATGAATCATTATGCCGACGATATGCACATAGACAAGGATCTTATTCGAAGAAATTAAAGTATTGGTTTTTCGATTTCTTGGGAGGGGCCAAAACTGGAGAATCTGAGAAGCTTCCAATCTTCTTCTGAGCTAAATCAGATAAAGCGAGAGCAGCTCAAATATATGGAGCGAATCTTAGGTGGGAAGCATGGCTCCTCGAAACTTTTTAGACATCTCAATGCAATCAATGCCATCGTGAAACTGGCAAAAAACCAATCAGAACCCTTATTGGCTTACACGTAGAGCACTTAGGTAAGATAAAAGTGTAGACAGCCAAGCTGCACTTTCGTTTTATATCGCTGCTTGTAGATTCGCGGAATCCCAGAGTTTGAGGCACAACCCAGGATGAGTGAAGGTGGGTGATATTTTGGATTATTGCTAACAAGGAATGGTCAATTGGTCGGTCCGGCCGTTTGTAATGAGGTGTAGTCCGATGCACGCGTCTTGCGACGCTGAGCTCAAATCCGTTTTCGGTTTTTGCCGAACGATTCTCTGAACGAAGTTATGAGGGATTCTTCTCACTGCGGCTATCTCACTGTGGCGACCTCTACACCCCCCCCCCATCCCACTTATCACACATAAGAAGAATCGCGGAGCATTTCGCGGTTCTTTCAAGGTTGCTCATACGAGCCCAGAAAGCGCTATACTGCGTTATTTTGTTATCGTTCTGTTTTTACGCGAGCCAAGTGGGATAGGGGGATGTAGAGGGCACCACAGTGAGATAGCCACAGTGAGAAGAATCCCTCATAACTTCGTTCAGAGAATCGTTCGGCAAAAACCGAAAACGGATTTGAGCTCAGCGTCGCAAGACGCGTGCAGCGGACTACACCTCATTACAAACGGCCGGACCGACCAAATGACCATTCCTTGTGAGATGAGTTGCTCTAAACAATCGCAGATGTCCCGTTTCCCCTGCTCTACAGCTCCCAACAAAGGCGTTATGGTCTGGCAAGTAACGACTTGACCGTTTCTGCTGTTTGTTTTGTTTCATACGCATCATGTTGGTGTCCACGACCCCTTCACGCATTGCGCTCTCTCGCCCACCCCTTGTGCTAAGTCTGGTGCTGAAGTAACAAAAGTGCCCGGTCGAGCTGAAGAGATGGAAGTTCAGCAGCATTAGGTCTCTCATTATCTACTTCGGTCCACCACTCATAGTCATCTTGTCTACTTTTCGTTTCTCGTACTCTTGACTAGGAACGTGACCATAGCATAACAACAAACCGGGTCATGCACAGTTTCTAGTAGAGAGCCGTAACCTAAGACAAGATGGAGTAGGTGTTTTCTCAGCATCAATTCAAAATGACGGAATCGTTACATGTGAAATGGTATTATCACAACGCAGCTCAGCTCATCTTGAGACATAATACATTCAGGAATCGGAAACGCTTGCGCAGCTGCAGAAGATGGAGATACATGCTTTCAGTACTTCGCCGCGATAATTTTCTTTGAATTACCACTTAACTGAGAGGACTTGATTCGCCAACCGCCATAGATAAAACATCGACGCACTCATCGTAATAACACCGCAGGATAAAACGCGACTCTGAACGCGTGAAAAGGCGAGCTGCATGCTGTGCGAGTGGTGAGTCGAGCCATCTGTATGTCCGCGGCTCTGCAACTTAGCGATTTTCGAGAACTCTCTGTATAAGTTGAGAATAAAGTTAACAGAAAGCCCAAAGGTTTTTGGATAACGAAAGTGAAGGAAAAATATACTGAAAAAAAACCTAAAGGCAAGGGTGGGATCATTGAAGCAGTTGTGTGGTGCGCCACTGCAAGGTCGCGCCACTTTCGCACATCGAAACGCATCACTAAGACGCTAGGCGCCAAGGACTTCTAACAGACTCCACCAAACTAACATGGTCCGCCCACCGTTCGATATCTTGTCTGCGTCGCAATGTTGATCTGCTATGCTCTCTCTAGTCGAACTTCTCCCCTCTCCGCGACTTACTTTATCTCTCATCTCCGTGCCTGCTGCAGCGTAGAGCAGAAATGTTCACATTTCCTATGTTTTTTCATGATTTAGTTTCCTTTTACCCCACTTGCAGTCCACCTTCCATCCTTATTTTCGAATTTAAGTGGCATAACTTCATCAGTTTAATCTTCTCTTTGAAAATACAGAGCGTATAATTGGTCTTAACATGGTTATCAGAAATCAGGGCAGTTAAATTGTTATCGCGGCCTCCGACGCCACTTACCACATGGTGTCGTCGCAGTACAATACTCATTGATCTAACCTGCTTAATGGAGGTGTCGTAGACCCCATTCTCTTGCTGGGTAAGTGTTTTGCGAAGCATACTGCTATAATAACCATTTCCAAGTTCCGTTATTTTCTCCTTCATAGTGAGTTGTATCAGCCTGAAAAGAAAGATTTGCGTTGTGGATTTTGCAAATGAATTTTCACTCTGAGAAGCGTTTCAAACAGTAATTTTGATGGCTTCACTTCCCTCAAAAAATCGCTAAAATACGCTATTCAACAAAATCTATACAAAGTTCAAAAAAAAACTGCGCAACTTACCCCTTCCAAACCCGCGATCGATATGCTTCAGGGATACCCGTGCGAATGAGAACCTTCAGCTCTTGACTTTCCACTAGAGGTCGCCCAACCCAATTCACCATAAAAGCATCCCAGGATTGCAGCCATAACATGTTCTCCTTACTTTGTTCCTTAATAGAACACATTTAAGATAGCAGAAGGGCAGAAAGATTCAGAATGTGCCCTATATTGACGACTTGGAATTTGAGAATTTTTAAGGACTGACCAGATTTGCCGCTTCCAGACACTGGGCGCCTTTGTCGGCATACTCCGCTGCCAAGTTCAATAGATCTCCATTACTAGCTCCCTAGAAGTACATAAATCTAACATAATTTATAGAATCGCTGTGACATGATCCTGTACATGTGTAAGATCCGTGGCTATTTAACACTTATGCTCATTTGACACCATCAACCGTTTTCACTTCTCAGTAATGAATAATTACCCATGATGATCGAATCCCATCAAGGGGCTACCCTTCCTAGAAGAACATCCTACCATATATAATTCGCTAAGTATGTCTGTGCGTGTGTGTGTAGGTCTGTGTGTGTGTTTGTCACGAAATTCGTAGCGCGCGTACCAGCAGTCACCTGGAGTTGATTTCAGGATATGATATAGGGGGTGGGACGGGAACATATTTGGCGGGGACAGAAAGTGATAACTACTGATAAGATTTGATAAGGGAGTTAGAACGCGGACGTCACGAAATGCATGGCGCGCGACCCAGCAGCAGTGAGGCGTGTTTTGCAGATATGATATAGGGGGTGGGGACGGGGACACATATTTGATGGGGACCAGAAAATGATAACGGCTGATATGGGGTGATAAGGAGCGTTGGAAGAGAAATGTCACTGAAGTCTTATCGAGAAGAGCGATAAGAAAACATCTACATCTTCGCGATGTTGTCGTGCTCCGTTAGACCGCTGAATCTGCCCGAGCTTGAAATGGTCGGTGTCTGTGGAAATACGATAAGCATTGGTATTTCTATCTCATCACCGGCATAAGAAGTTATTCGACCGCTAAACCATCCCACATCCAAAGCATGGTAGATGTTTACGCTGAGGGCTGATAATAAGCAGCCCAAGTAATTGTATTAGTTATCCAAAGGTCATTCGGCTGCTAGACTTTGTTAGTCCTAGAAAAATGATGGATGTTTATTGGTATTGAAGAACTATGAGAAATTACTGCTTCATCTGAGTTCCCTAATACCATCAGTCAAATCCATTGAAAGCAGTACGTCACTCTGTACATGCTCAGTTTCAATGAAGCCTATGTTGACATGCGCGCGAGAGCGGGCGGAGCAAAACTGGTTTCACGATAAAGCAAGATGAATTGAAACCCGTGATCGCGAGATAGTTGTTCAAGGTAAAAACTGATCTATGGCAATCATGTTCCGTGCTGAAACAAAACGAGATCTGGAACTCGGGAAACGCTTGCTGAAACAATCGGCAATGATTTGAAATGCGCCAAGTCTCAACTGTTCCAATGAGTTCCATCTATTTTGGTGTAGACTGGTCCAGCAGAAGGGAGCATTTTCTGAAATTTTTAGAAGAGGCGCGGGTTCACGCGGAAAACACGCAAAAATTTTTGATCGCTAAAGTGTTCAAGGTGTTGTTTCATCACTACTGATGCCTGTGCAAAAAGTTTGCTTCTCCTTGAATTGTTAGGCGGTCCTCCCTACCTACCCCCTAACTGCCCCAGAGTCTAAGGGGCAGCGCGTTAGACGTTCTCGCGCCAAATGAAGGTAGCATTCGTGATCTTAGGAATAATTTATTTTCACCAAAGTATCTGAAGTAGATGCTTCTACCTTTGCTGTGTTAAACCTGCCTTCAATATAACGGACTTGTACTCAATGAAGAGATTGTCTTACTGATAGGCCTGCTCGAAAATGTTTCAAGAATATCGGGAATGACGCCGTTAACCGCGTAATCCTTCAAGTTCTGCGAGGAATAGAAGAATTTCGATTATGGAAGAACGCGAAACAAATAAGTTGCTAAGGCCTAATCTTAACAAAACCCCGCCTCCCTTGACTTGGCCCGAGTCCCCGTAAACTGGATATTATACTGTTCAAAATAATAAAATTTTAAAAGATACAAAAACTGCAGCAACACATGCATCTACCTAATGTCTCAATACATTATGTGATTGGCTTACCTCCTGCTGTGTTCTACCTTTCAGATAGAATCCAAGCGCATCCGTTTTCTTAAGCGAATCAGTGTCGCGTGCCGTCCTACAAACTTCTGCCATCAGTTGCTGAAGCATTCCCGGCTCCATCACTGAAGGCAACCAAACTTATCAACAAAGGAAATTTTATTTACAAACCGACAGGTATTTCATTTGCTGAGATTCTGTCATAGATGGCTTCTGCACGGCGAAAATTCAAAAATACTGCTCAATAGGAATGTGTAAGTATAATTACGGTGTGCGCCACTCAGACCAACTCACTTATGCTCGGCTTCTCTGGTGACTTGAAGTGGTTGAGAACCATCAGATATCGACTTTTCATCTGGTAGTAACATCCTTCAACCTCAGCAAACTGCTTTTGCCACCCTCGTTCTCGCTCTTCCAATGCACGCACCATTTTGTGCAAAACTAAACTATTGTTTGTACAAGAGCCTCGACCTGCTTGAATGGACTGATAGTTTGAAAATAGGAGCAGCACAATGGGAGTCAAGAGAAAATTACTTACGCACAATCTCCTTGTTCAAGAAATCATTCTGTGCCCTATAGCCTTCGACGAGATCCCGCAACTCATTCAAATCACGAACGTTTTGTTCCTCGAACACTGCTCTTTCAGCCTCCTCGCACCGTTGGATAGATTGCGATTCAACTTCCATTCCTTCTTCAACTATAACACCTTGAAAAATTTCAGAATCGGTAATTTTCTACTCTGTCGTGAAAGTGTATTGGATAAGGCCTTTAGAGAAAAGTCAAATACAGTAGTGCGTCAATGCATACTGAGTGCGGCTCTCTGCACCTTTTTCTTTAAAACTGATGTATTTGAATTTTTTCGATTGCATAATTGTCATTACTGCGTTGATCCAATTCGTAACGATAACACAACGATTATACAGTGCGTTTCACAATTATAAGGTCACCCTTAAAATTTGCATTCTCGGGACAAGCAGCAGACTGGCAGTTTTTCTAGTATTAGTCTTCTTGCATCTTCCAGGAACTCCCATGGATGGGGCCGTAAGAGGGGACCATCAGGGCCAATAGTGGACAATTTCAGTTCTCCAATCTTTACTACTGCGATGAAAAAAATGCTATCTCGAGATGGCTGTAAAGTGAGGGATTAGATAAGTCGGATTGGAGTTACAGCAAAGGAGTGGAGAGGCTAATGTGGTGGCGAGAAGCTAAGAAATCCGTCAAGAGCTTGCAAATTGGGACCCCTTAGTTTTTCCCGTTGATCTCCGACAGTGGCTGAGGAAGCAACTAAGTAGGGAGGTTCTTTGCAAGAGTTGACCCAATAGCCACCATCATACCGTCAAACAACAGACTTTGACTGATAGCCCACCGAATAGGAAAGTTAGAGGATACGGTCGCTCGAAGTGAAATGTGAAAAACGGTTAAGCACAGAAAAAGTTTGAAGCTTTGGTGCGCTGCAAATAACGCACTTTGGGCCGCGAAAGAGGTCCATATTTCGCTCTTTTGACCTCATTTACTGCACTGGTGCAGGCACTCTATGCAGAATATACGTCTTAGCGTGATCCTCAACTGTTCCTTATTCTCTGGCCAAAAACGCTCACACTAGACGGCCTGCCAAAATTAACATTAATGCCCTCGTGGATCCTGGCCAGTCGGCAAACTGTCTGGCAGAGCAACTAGGGTTACCCTTCACCACGGCCACATAATTGCTGACTGATTCAGGCGAAGCAGAAATGGAGCGTGGATTTCTCGAAGGTCCGCCCCGCATAAACTGGAACTGCGCTTCGATATGTGCATGAATCTCGTCAGCTCCCTTTCGAAGGAAGAGCACCTCGACCATATGAACACAAGGGACGAGAAACACGTGTTCTATATAAGCCACAACTTTTAAAGATTTGCGGGCACGTTCTGCTTGCAGCTCTTTTCTTCTGGGGATATGTCACGTACATTCCGTCTTGACTACTTTGATGACCTGTGAATTTGGCAATCAATTGAGATAGCGCCCCGCAACGCACTCTTTCGTTCTCGCTCGCTCCCCCTTTGCTCAAGAAACTCCACGGCAGATTCATCGGGATTTCTGATATTATACAGGGTGACTTACGTTAGTTCCATATGTGGGCTCGCCATGTTTTCGGAGCGATCTTTGCTAAATATTCGACTGCTCATGAACTCTAACTCGTTGTAGTTATCAAGTGATGGATCGTTCGCTGGTTTCGGGCTGGTCTCTTGCGGATTTGTTAGCACCAGCGTATGTCGGTTTGCTCTTCTTTCTCTGCCGTTTGCGCTGCTCCGATCGCCGATCACACAGTTTTCTATTTCTATGTTATGTGTCCTCTTTGTTTTTGCTCGCAATGTGTGTTGTGTCGGGTAAGAAATCATATGGAATTTATGTCCTCCACTCTCCGGACGGCACCTCATCTATAGACTCCCTCCTATATCTTCCTTTGAGTTTGTCTCCTAATTATATTTGGCTGTACGCGATTGCTGAGTATATCTGAATTAATTCGAAAATTGTAAGGAAGGTGAAGAGAAGCAATGAGTCCGTTGGTAGAATCTGGTATGTAGTTGTTCTGAACTCGTGCACAAATATTCAATCATTGCAGGTTCAAAATTTGAAGCTGAACTGGAACGATATTTTTCCGTGGCACAATTTCTTCGGCTGCCATCATCCCTCACTCTAATTATTCCCGCGCATCTCATCGCCTGCCAGATTCTATGCCAAATATCCCTTGATTGAGCCCCATACTTTCTGGAGCCTCGGCTGGGCATGATCAACAGCCTAACTCTAACATCATACTATCAAGATTTTCTCCAGACTTAGTGAGATTACATTATATATGGGAGGATCACTGCTGACTATAAATATCGAGGCGATAATCGCTTGTGCTCAGTAAATCGTAAGCTCCCATAACTCAGATACATCCCTTTCCGGAACCCATCGTGTATAGATTTATCAAAATGAAACCCCTTAATAATTGTTGTAATTCAGAGTGTAGACATTATACTGCACCGTTTTGTTCGTTTCCATAATATTATGATGGTTCCCCCAATCCCCTCATCCCAAGGTTTTGCCTTATTCCCCCCATAAATTTACCAGTGCGATTTTTTGGAAATATGCCGTGTCTATTACCTATTATTATAGTTTTCTCTATTCACGATAATAACCCTTGATAACTGAATTCCTGTGAGAAACTTCGATTTCAGTAGGTATTATTATATTTCTTCATTCTGTTGTTGTTAGCGGTTATTTTCATCGTTGTCGTCATATATACACTCTCACAGTCACGTTTTCGAGAGGATTTACTTAGTATTCACGGAAAAAACGTTATCGAATTTCAGGTAATTTTTGTTTGGATTGACGCGCCTCCTCTTCTCCCCGCCCCCCGGACGTTGAAGTCATATATTATTCATTGAAATGCCTAGAAACTATGGAATATGGTAATTTAGGTTTTGAAATGTTCTTGGTTATGATGCGGTTGTCAATTAGTCTTGTTCCGTATGGAATTTGAATATTCGTTTTGGGGCGGCCCGATGGATGCGATCTCGTTTCATGCTTTTCGATGTGTGTGCCAGTTTTGTGCTTTATTGCTTTTGCGCTGTGTTGGTAGGTTATCTCCCTGTCAAGAATTTTTTTATATTACTAATTATAGTGCTCTCAAATTGAGTCTCTATTGTTTTAATTTCTTGTTTCAATTTCAAGCTAAAACATCGGCTGCTCAACAGATAAATTGCCACAGTTTTTCTCCGTAAGCGTTCCTCTGGCGCGGAGCGCGGTCATGTGCGAGCGAGCACCGGCAGCCCCGCGTCTATTCGCGCGCGGGGGGTGTGTGTGAAATGGCCAGGAATACGAGGGGAACGCGTTTGTTGAAAAACATGGTAAGTGACTCGCTTCGATAAGAACTTCACTAGATACCGCCTGTGAATTCTTTGTTGAACGGAAGCAAATATGCGAGCTCTATGCTCATCGTTTCAATAGGTGCCTCTAAATCCATTAAGGATTCACCCCGTTCGAAATTACGTTACACTTGAAGACCATTCCTTGCGTTTGTCATCCGCGATTCATTCCTTGTATCGTTCTCGTTTTTTCTGCTAACACTTATGTAGAATATCCCCAACCTTTTCCACGTTCGATTCACAGACCACTCTGTTATAACGATAATCAAGTATGGCTTCAGCAGTCCAAGATCGCGCAGTGGTTCTTTAACAGCCTCACATGGTGCTTTTGGCTGGTTGTTGGGGTCGGGACGGGGTGTGGGCGTATATGTGGTCATTCGCTGTGCATGTTTTATAGGTTGAGCGCCCTTTTCTCGGAGAAGAATGATGACTATGCGATTTGTATCCGCTCAAATTAATCTTGGAACGCTCTTCATCAATCCGTTGAAGATGTTATTGCTCTGCTGGCTTACTCACCACACGGTGGTTTTGCTCACGGAAGGCCGCATTTCAGTACGGACTTTGTTCGGACTCCTTGTATAATTCGAGAGAAGACACCCAATTCCTCCTAAATTTTGAAGGAAACGCAGTCTTTATTTACCTAAGCGACTCTTCTCTCCGCACTGACCAGGATTTTGCACATAGTCGCTTATGCAGTATGAGCCGGCCGACATGGGAGGAAATTCTGCTCCTCAGCTATCCCACTTCAGTAAGTGCTCTAGCTTGAGCTTGTTACTGGGAAGAGGCGAATAACACGAGGTATGGTAACTCGATGTCGACTGAGCCCACATATTTCCCCGCTTCCCTGATTCCCTTCACGGATGTACGAGCCACCAGAAAGACTTCTTTATGATGGCCATAACCTGTCATCGAAACGGTGAAAATTCGTTCAGAAAAAAAGTTAATTGGGTTACTTGAGGGGGGAATTTGTCAGAAAAACACTGTGAAGGTTTTCCGTGATGAGGAATCTAACGGTGATAGCAGCATTTCCAAAAAATGCACAGCAACTTTGGGGTAGCAAAAATTTAGGGTGGACCTATAATTATGAAACGCAGTGTATGTTTAGAAATGTGATTTTCAAGAAGATTTTTTTTCAAGATCAGTAGCACCGCATGTCCAAATCCAAGTAAGAAACACGAAAAAAATTCAAAAGGAGAAAATAACTCAATATTGACAGCAGCCCGTGTTTTGTTTATGGATTCACCCCCAAGTTTTTTTTTTTGATTTCAGCTCGTGGGGTTATCTAAAAAGTTGGAATATTTTATTAGTCAATTTCCCAAGTCTGGCCTCGTTCTTGCAAGCACATACACTCTGTTTCATGCAGCCAGAAATCCACGTGGCACACGTGGCTAAATTCTCGATGAAAAGGTGACATCACGTGTGCTCAAAGATGTTCTTGAATCGATGCCACGTTAATGCCACGTCAATTTCTGCAATTGCACAATTTCTGGTCATTTGAAGGCGAGGGTACATATGTTTTCACCAGATATTTGAATTTTATAATTTTGAATTCAAATTTCTCAGGGCGGCCCAGCCGAGAACGTATTCGAATCGTTCCTCGATCTTTCCAGGTTGTCACGGCGATAACGATAAGAGGTCGAAACGTGAGCCAAACAAAATATTACAACCCCAGAGAGGAAAAAATATACGTACACATATCTAAAGTTTCCTGCAAAAGTTAAACAAACGTCCACTATTGACAGGATCGAACCATTCACAACTATGAAATTCACAAAAAGCCTTCAGCGAATACAAT